AATAGATGTATATATATATATATATATATATATATATATGCATGCACCCGAAAAAGACACACACACAACAGCGGCGAAGTAGGGATGAAGGAGCGTAACAGTTGACATGCAAAAAAAAGGTCTCATTATCCTTTTTTTTGTATGTGTGTGTGCCGAAGGGCCGAGAGTGGCTCTTGTACAGCAACGCACCGCGACTGCTTTGTCGTCATTGCTCGGAGAACGGTGATGACGAAGACATTGCGTCGGGCTTTATGGTGTGTGTGCGTTGCTTCACTCGTGAGGATTTCCATGATTAGATTCTTTTTTGCGTGTGTGACATGGATCCACGTGCGCTGTCGGGCGACAAGAATTGGCACTGCAGTTCACTCTCATCACCTGCCTTCTTTCTGTTTTCTTCTCTCTTCTCCTCTGTGGTGTTTGAACGCGGCTGCTTTACACCACATTTGCTCTGACCAACCGCATCTGCCACAAACTTTTTTTTTCGTTGTTTATTCTCCGTCTCTCTCTCTCTCCCCCACACCAACGATGTGTTGTAGTTGCTCCTCTCTCGCATTAATTTTTTTTCCCGTTACCGCAGTTACGCTACCGCGTTTACGTTTACGCTGTCCGCTCTTGAGTCTTCCTTGCAGACGTTCGCCTCACGTGAGAAGAAGAAGTGCACTTCGAAGAGTTCATCTCGCTGCGTTGGCTCACTTCGCTGATATTTCTCCCGCACGTAGCATTATCATTTCCCTTTCCCTTTTATTGTAAGTTTTTTTTTTTAATCCATACACGCAGAAGACAACACGTAGGCCCAATGTGCAACGCTCCTTTCCGTGTCGGCATTGTGATCTACTGCATCCTGCAGTTCATCGCCTTCCTCTTTCTTCTGGTGGGCACGCCCATCGATCAGTTCCGCCTGGGCACCGATGACATGTTCAGCAACAGCCCCTGCCTCACCATCTGGGGCTGGAAGAACAAGTGCATCTCCGCCACATGGAGCACCCTCACGAACGAGCTCTGGTCCAATTGCACGCACCGCCGGGACCGCTTCCGCGCCTCGGAGGGCCTCGCCATCGCTGCCCTCGCCATCGCTCTTATCGCGTGCATCTTTGGCTTTGTGATGCTGTGCTGCTGCCGCTGCCTGCGCTGGCTGTGCTTCATTTTGAACCTGCTCGCCACTGGTACGGGCTGCGCGGTCAGCGCCCTGATGATTGACGCGTACTACAACCGCCACGATTCCTTGACGACGGGGGAGGTGGTGATCGGCAACATTACCTGCGGCGCACTGCGCGAAAATGCCTTCGTGAAGGGAGAGGTGGGTGCTGGAGTGGCGCACTTCAAGTACGGTGCGGGCTTCGCGCTACATATCGTGGGCTGGGGTCTCTGCTTCATCAATATCATCTTCCTGATGCTGCCGTGCTAAAACCCTGAATAGTAGGTGAAGAAAAATGGCGCCGTCCCTACGTGAAAGCAGGTAAGGGTAGAAGGAGCCTCCGGAGTGAGAAACGAGAGAGAACAGATGCAGTTCAAAAACTGTCGTTCAGTCGCCATTTCCGTGACCTGCCCGTGTTCTTCTTTCCGGTCTGCCACCCGCTCCTGCCTCCTCTCTCTCTCTCTCTCGAAGATTGGGTATCGCAGCCTTTTTTTCTTTTGCTGCCGGAAGCAGTGGAAGAGAAAACATCGACCACCACAGCCACAAACAGCGGACTAGATCGAGAAGTAGAATAAGTCAGGAAGTCGTAAAAGAGGCAACTTGCGGAAACGTGTGGCGCCTCGTTTTTTCGCTGTTGACTGACTCTCTTTCAATCTTAGAAAAAGAAGTATTCGTATTCGCTTCGGCGCGTTTTCGTCACACCACCGGCCCCTTCTCCGCGTGTGTTAAAACTCTCATATTTTTCCCTTTTTGCTTTTCTTTCCGCATTCGTCCCCCTTTTTTTTCTTTGGATTTTCCTTTCTCAGTTTTTTTTTTTCGTTACGGGGAATAACTTCCTTCTTCTCTTTTTACATATTTTGTGAAGTAAAAGAAATATACCTCCCTTTTTTTTTCTGGCGTCCGTACTTCGCGCCCTTAATGAAACGCAAGTCCATGCTTTTCATTTGTAGATTCATTGCTATTCATAGTACTACTACTATTATTTATTATTACTACTATTATTGTCTATTCGTTGCTGAGAGGATCACTCCTTTCATGACCTGAACCCGTGGGACGACAAGGCGGTGCGCAGAGAAAACTGTTCTGGCGCTCTGCAAAGACATCTAAGGTCGCGTGTGAACCCAACTTCTTCCTCCCCCGTCTCTTTCACTCTTGGGACTCGCGGGTGACACCGGAGCTGGCAAGCAAGACGCACGAGCAGGACAGAAAAGCATGTGCTCGGCTTTTCTGCGCGCATTGCTCAACACACATACCTTCCGTCCACGGTGTGTGTATTATCTGCTGTGGAGGATCTGAAAAGAGAGGGAGAGGCGTCGCACGTCGCTTCCGTTTTGACCGTTGCGTTGTCTTGTTGGTTCTCTTTTTCGGGTTCCAAAAGGATCGAAAAAGGAAACCGCAACGAGTGAAGATGTCAACGCCAGCTTTTCCCCCTCTTTTCCTTTTCTCTTCGGTCTTTCTCCCCCCCCCCTCTCTCGATGCGTCAGTGCTGAAAGGATGCATCAGTTGACCTGTAGGAAAAAAGAATATATATACGTATGCCTTTCAAAAGAAAAGTTTCTACCTTTTTTCCTTTTTTCTTTTGTGCTGCGGTGCGTTGCCGTTTATTCTCGGCCCGGCGGTTTGTTTGAACTCCACACACCTGACTCGCACAACTTGAAGCTGACCAATGGGGAGGAAGCAGAGGTAAAGGCTGTCTTGGAATTAGAGTCGCGAAGAACCGGAAACGTACGACGAAAACGGAGGTTGCACGTGGGTAAAGGCCTAAAGGCATCGTTTTTATTTTTGCGTACCAAGAGAAGTGAATACTCCAGATTGCTATCCGCACTCCGTAGAGTGATGCGACTGCGAGCAATAATGACTTCATTCTGATCTTCCTCGTTTGTCCTTTTCAAGTGTTCGTGGTGGAAGAAGAAAACTGTCTGCATCTCCTTCTCCTTTTTCTTTTTTTTTCTCTTAATCTCCTCCGAACGCATTTTAAAATATATTCACGTAAATTTTTTTTTTGCAAGCATTGGAGTGCGCTATCCGGCAAAATATATATTACTATCTATTTATATATGTTCCACCTTAAAAAAGTGCTTTCCTCTGTTATCCGCAACTTTCACGTCTTAATATAAATGCGTTGAAGTTCATGAACTTGGGTAAAATAAACAAACGAACGGAAAAACACGGTCGCCAAAGGGAAGTATAGCAGAACGTTTTTAAAGCCGTCTCGCGTTGGAAAGGAACTGTAGCTCTTCATGACCCCAGCGGCGAGGAGCAGTGGACAGTCTATTCGCAGCGCTGCTCTCCAGGGCCGTTTCCACCTTCTTCCCCTACGATGTATGCATGAAGAGCTGGCCTCCAGCTGATCTGCGAGTGCCGTCAACGACCGCGCCAAGTTCAATTTCCCTCCGTCTTCGTCAACAGGTGATGAAAGAAAACGGTTTTGTGAATAAACGCGCGCTGCACTTCGCGTAGGGGATCACATAATAGACAAGAGAACAACCACATGTAATTTCCTGCTATTACGGCTTGCCTTCAATGCATTTCTCATATTTTCCCCTCTTTGTTTTCTACTCCTTCATATTTCGTCTTTCCTTATTATTCTTTCTTCTGCTTTTGATAATTCGGACTGCTTTGTCTTTTGCACGTTTTCGTAGTCCTGTTCTCCCCTGTTTGTCGTGTTGTGACGCAGCGTCGCCGCTCACCTCCCCCGCCCATTAACCCGTGCCTTTCTCCGCTTCGGCTGCAGTGCATAATATTACTTTTGCAAGCTCTTCGTTACTGTATATTCTTGTTCTGTGTTTTTTTCTTTTCCGTTCTATATTTACAGTTTTTAGCTTAGGTCCTATATTCCTCTTGTTTCTCTTCTTTTCTCTTCGGAGCGCGCTCGATTGCACAACTTTGTGTTGTTGTTTAAGACCGCACTGTTGACGAAATACTCATCAACGCACATTAATTCGCGTAAATTTCGAATTGTGTCTTGTACTTCTTTTCGTTTTCTCACCGATTCCTTCGTTTCGTGTCTTTTCCCCCTTCGTTTCTTGGTGTAGCTGCCACGGTGCTTTCTCCATTCGATATTTAACAACAAAAGAAAAATGGGGTACATTGGCCGTATCATTTTCGGCATCGTTCAGTTTGCCGCGATTCTCCTCATCTCCTTCGGCATCCCGCTGGGGATGATGCAGCCATCTGAGGAGAAGGCCCTGAACTTGAAGGACTCCTACTGCATCAGTATGTGGGGCATCAAAGACAGCTGTCTGCGGTTGAACTACGCCTACAAGCCAGAGGCGGTGTGGTCCAACTGCAGCGGGCGTGAAGGCCGCTTCAAGGCGGCCCGGGTCTGCGCCATCATTGCGGTTATCATCTTTGCCGTCTCCTTCCTTCTCAGCTTTCTGATGTCGTGCTGCTACCCGTGCATCTCGTACGTGTGCATCCTGCTGAACTTTGCTGCGATGGTCTTCGTAACGGTGTGCTGGGGCTGCATGCTGGACTGCTACCTGCGCAATATGGGGTCTGACACCACGACCTTCCCTGGCCAGGACGTCTGCGTGAAGCTGAAAAGCTTCCACGGCACGGACGGCACCTACGTGAACGGCATGCATCTGGGCACCGGCTTCATTCTGATCGTCGTTGGCTGGGCCCTCGGGTTGGTCAACATGTTTGTGCTTCTTCTCCCGTGCTGAGGCGCCGCAGCGGTGCGGAATTCGACATGGAAAAAAGAACAGAAGAAAAGCAGCACGGCGGCGCCACTTCATAACAAAAGAGGTGAAGGGCGCAAACGCCGAGCGACGCGTTGGTGCGCGGTACGGAAAAGCTCTAGTAGCCCCCGTGAGTTGGAGCAAAAGCGTGGAACGTGGCGGATCGCGGATGTACTGACTGCATAGTTTTTCTTTCTCTTCATCCTTGGTACACTATACTGTTTTACCCCTTCTTGGTACATGAGACACGTTTCGGTGCCTCACCTGCGAAGCGTTGAGAGCACTTGGTGCGTCGTTTCCTATTCCTCCACTGGCGGCGTTCTAGCTTCTCTGTTTTGCGTCACGTGGGAACGGTGCACACTTCGGAGTTCTCTCCTGTGCCTTTCTTTTTTTCCCCCTTTTCTTCATCATCCAAAGTTAAACGACCTTCTTTCATTGCTTTCCGATGACCGTGTATGCTGTCGAAGAATGCCGAGATGCGAGGGGGCTTCAAGTGGCTAGAGGTACGGGGGCTATTTTAAAGTGAAAACAAATATATATATATATGTATATGTTCAATATTCTTCCCCTCTCTTCTGAAAAAAAGTAAAGAAAAAACTGTACCTGCTTTTGTTGCGAATCTTTAAAAGAAACCAAAGATAACACCACTTCTTAAAACAATAACGTCACTGCAGAAAACCGTGTACGCACTTCTTGCGGTGGGAAGCTGCTGCACTTTTTTTTTCTTTTTGGTCTAAATGCTCTTTAGATGTAATACGACGAGCCCACTGCGCGCATTCCAATGTACATGTTCTGTTTATGTGCGCTTTTTTTTACTTGACATCCTTTTTTTCCTTTTCCAGTGGATGACCATGAACCGTGTTTTTTTTTTTCTTGGAGTTCCGCGCTGACACAATGTATTCATCTCCTACGATAAAGAGAATAAAATTCGTAATACCTCTGAAAGGCGGCGTGCTCTGTGAGTAATTCAAGGGAAGGAGGCCGAGTTGGTGTGCGTGCTCTAGGCCTCTTCTTCGGTTTCCTTTCCCGTTCAAGTTAGTAGTGCGCACCCGCCCTCGATGTCTCGTTTTTTTTCTTTGGAGGGGTTATGTTTGCATCGTTTTTAATCGATTGCATTCTTTCTTTCTCGGCGTGTTCATGTGCTCTGGCGCAGCAGCACAGAGAGGTGGTAATGCACATGTGGTCAAAAGCCCGAAAGAGCTGACAGTTCGGTAGCACGACACACCCGGGGTTTCCTTCCCATACTCGTCAAGGAAACACAACAAATCCCAAATCGCATTTTTGCGAGAGTTTAAAATCTGTGAGACCTCTTTCGGTGAAAAAAGGACACTTTCGTCTTCGGCCGTTTTCACACTCCTTGAGGAAAACAAAGGGAGAAGCAAAGCGAAAACAAACAAAGAACCAAAAAAAACGACAAGAAGCACGCACGTAGCCAAAGCCGCCCGCGGCGCTCCTGTGCGTGTCGTAGTTCAAGCATGACAGCAGGCGTACTTGTCGCGTTCCGCCCCCTTTTTGCCCTTTAAGTATCCAGCTTGCGGTCCACATGGTGTCGTGACGTCGTTGCGACGTTCACCACGCTCGAAGGCAACGCTTCTTATTCACGTCTTGTCCCTGTTCTCGATCGCTGTTCTTCTCCACTCTTCTTCTCTCCTTTTTTTTTTGTCCCATCGCTCCGCCGCAACATCATGCGCGTCGAACTCACAATCGTGGCAAAACATGTAAAGGAAACGCATCTACTTTCGATTTGCGGCTCCCATTTGTTTTTGACTAACTCCACGTAAAATATTCCTTCCCCCACCATCTGTCCTTTTGATTTTGTGTTGCTTTGTGCTTCACAATTACATACACATCCATAAGGGAGTAAGTCCGCTCTAACGCGTCGGTCTTAAAGTATATATATTTATATGTGTTTTGTTTTTGTCTTCCATTATCTTTCTCCTCTTTCATTTTCAGCTCGACTTCTATTGGTCGGCTTTTACTGGCTTCTTTGCTCTTTAAAGGAATACATTTTCAGCGGCGCGTTCTTCGGGCTTTTCTTTTTCCCCCTCTCCCCCGAACGACGGAGCTTGGTGTCGACATAGACACCTGCGTGCGTTTCGCTTTTTATTTTTCGTCAAGAAGCATCCCATTGCCGACTCTCTTCGCTGCCTCCCATTAAAACAAAAAAAGCACATCAACAGCAGCAAGAAACCAATTACACCTCGGTGAAGGCCGTTTTCTCTCTTCTTTTTTTTTCATAGGCAAATTCACTTCGGGCGAAGATCCGGAACTCTACTGGTCGATAGCTTTGGTGTTGTTGAAGGACGTAGCGGTACGTCAGAGTTCCTCTCTGGCTAGTGAACGAGCTTTTCCAAAATTATTGACTTATCTTTTTTGAATGTAAACCTTTTTTTCTTCCTCTTTTCCTTCTTTCTTACACACATATTTTTGTAAGTGGTGTCTATTACGCATTCTCTTTTTCAAACTGTTTTTAAAAAACAGGAAGGACTCAGCGTAATCGTCATCTCCTCGATTGTACACGTTTCTTTCTTTTTTTCCTTTGTTTTCTTTTAATGAAGGAAAAACTGAAACATACAAAAATCAGGTTTTTCTTCGGCACTTATTACTTTCTCTTTACTACGTTCTCTTGCGATATCCCTTCCGCTTCCTGCAAGAGTTTTTTCTTTTTCCTTTCCGGTTTTCGAGAAGTGAAGGTGAACCTACACCACCTTGACTCCCACTTCCTTTCGTACCTTGGTTAAATTTGACTTCTTCTTTTCTATTGCGTATCTATCTCTATCTTTTTTACTTTTAATTATTGATACTTGCCTTTTTTTGATCGACGCGCCTCTGCATCTTTATCTGTGTGCATTCGCCGTCTCTGTCTTGCTTCTTGTTCTTTTTTCACACACACAAACCCTTGATCAAGTTTATCATTTTCTTTTTGTTTTCTTCTCAGTTCAGTTTGCATTAGCAAGGCAACAACAACTGCAAAAAAAAAACCTGTGCTAACTTTGCTTTCTTTGAAGGGGATCTCAGAATTTATTACCGTAGAATTCTGTTTTCACGCGTGCACACCTTGTTTCTTCTTATCTTGAGCTTTGCGCATATGTAGAGCTCCCGCTTCTAGTTTTCTTTTCTTTTCCTCTTTCAAGCTTCCACATTCTTTTCCTTTTCTCTAACGCCAACGTTTTCGTACCTCCGCCTACAAATTTACTGATTTACGGTGCGGTACCACAGCGCCGTGTTTTTGTATTTGATTTATTTGTTGCTTCTCTCTCTTTTTTCTTCCTACGTGTAAAGCGGAGAGAGTCTCTGAACACAACAGCACCTCAGCAAGTAAACTAAAAAGCACAACTGGTACTGGCGACAGCTTCCTTTTCTTTCTTCTCTTTCTTTTTGTTACCCCTTCCTTGAGCTACGGCCGTCACTTTCACTAACTGTCTCATTTATTCTTTTCTTTTCTGTATTTGCTTGTGGTTTCCCGACAAACGCCATCTAAAAAGTGTTCCTCCGTCAACGGAGCGGTTAGTTTACAAGCGGAACCTCTCTCCACTATATATATATATATATAAATCGAGTAAAACGACGGTAGCGGCTAGCGGCGAGATTCTTCAGCGAATTGGCACAAACCGGCAAAAAGGTAAAACTCTAAAACTCCCTTAATTTCTTAATCAAACTTATTTCTTTTTGCGGTATACGTTTCTCCGTTTCTTTTCCCTTGCTTGCTGATACCGAACTTGCTACCGACGCTCATGGAGCCCAACGTGCCCAACGCCGAAAAGCCGCGAGAGCCGTTCGGCCAGGGGCTCGTGGAGGCTTCGGCTGAAAACCGGCATTCCGGGCACAGTGTGGGCGACAACGATCTGGAAAACTCCAGCTCCGCCTTTCACGCGTACGTGGACGAAAGCGATGTCTCGCTAAATCCCGGAAAGAGACCAGCGTCAGTTGAGAGGGAGGACGCAACGAGCAGCCTCGGCAGTGAAAGTCCCGTTTTCTCCGCCGAAGAAGTGGTAAAGCCGAAACAAAACCGACAGAGCGTGTCTGCGTTGGCTATCTTCCGCTACGCAGATACGGCTGACAGAATTCTCATGATTGTGGGCACCCTCATGGCCATCGCGTCCGGTGCGGGTATTCCCCTCTTCTGTCTCTTCTTTGGCCACATCTCGACGGACCTGATAAGTACGAAAGGAAACACCGCCAACACTACGGCGAAAACGGCCCTCATCATGGTGTACATCGGCATCGGCATGTTCGTGGTGTGCGGTGGACACGTGTTGTGTTGGACCATCGCAGCCAGCCGCCAAATGGCTCGCATCCGCCTGCGCTTCTTTGAGGCGGTGCTGCGGCAGGACATTGGCTGGCACGACGAGCACAGCCCCGGCGAGCTGACGGCGCGCATGACGGGTGACACGCGCGTGATTCAGAACGGCATCAACGACAAGCTCTCCCAGGGTGTGATGAACGCCTCGATGGGCCTTCTGGGTTTTATCTTCGGCTTTATTTTCTCCTGGGAGCTGACGTTGGTGATGCTCGGCATGATGCCCTTCATTGCCATTATGGCTGCTTTGCTTGGCAACATCGTGGCGAAGATGACGGAGTCGTCCCGCAAGCACTTTGCCAAGGCCGGCTCGATGGCAACGGAGGTGATGGAAAACATCCGCACGGTGCAGACCTTCGGCAAGGAAGAGTACGAGACACAACGCTTTCACGATGCGGTTCTGCTAGCCCAAGACCGTGGCATTCGTAAGGAGTTCGCCGCCAATCTCTCTGCTGCAACGATCATGGGGGTGGTCTTCACCAGCTACACCATCGCTTTCTTCTTTGGCTCGTACCTCGTGCAGTGGGGACGCTCGGACATGCAAAATGTCATCTCAACCTTCTTTTGCGTGCTGATGGGCAGCTTTGGTCTGGGTTTTGTCGCACCGAGTACTACCGCCTTCACAGAGTCGCGTGCAGCCGCGTACGAAATCTTCAAGGCCATCGACCGTGTGCCGCCCGTGGACATTGATGCCGGCGGTGTTCCTGTAACCGGCTTCCGTGATAGCATCGAGTTCCGCAGCGTGAAGTTCGCCTACCCGACGCGTCCCGACATGATGCTGTTCCGCGATCTGAGCCTGACGATCAAGTGCGGTCAGAAGGTTGCCTTCTCCGGCGCGTCTGGCTGCGGCAAATCGTCGATGATCGGCCTCGTGCAGCGCTTCTACGACCCGCTTGGCGGCGCCGTGCTGTGCGACGGGGTGGACATGCGCGAGCTGTGCCTGCGCGACTGGCGCGACCAGATCGGCATTGTGTCGCAGGAGCCGAACCTGTTTGCCGGCACGATGATGGAGAACGTGCGCGTGGGCAAGGTGGACGCGACGGAGGAGGAGGTGATCGAGGCGTGCAGGCAGGCGAACATCCACGACACGATCATGTCGCTGCCGGACCAGTACAACACGTCTGTGGGTGCCGTCGGGTCGCAGCTGTCCGGCGGGCAGAAGCAGCGTATCGCGATTGCGCGCGCGCTGGTGAAGCGGCCGCCGATCCTGCTGCTGGACGAGGCGACGAGTGCGCTGGACCGGAAGTCTGAGCTGGAGGTGCAGGGTGCGCTGGACCAGCTGATGCTGAAGGGCGGCATGACGGTGATCATCATTGCGCACCGCCTGGCGACGATCCGCGACGTGGACTGCATCTACTACGTGAAGTACGATGGCGTGGAGGGCAGCAAGATCACGGAGAGCGGCACGTTCGACGAGCTGATGGCGATGGGCGGTGAGTTCGCTGCGATGGCGAAGATCCAGGGCGTGCCTGCGGACGGCGGCCGCGCGGGCGGCAAGAGCGAGACGGCGAAGGCGAAGAAGGACCTCCTGAACGTGATCCTGGACGAGGCTGCGCTGGCGAAGCTGGATGCGGAGGCGCCGCGCACGGAGCGACAGAAGGTGCCCATCGAGATCTTGGCCAAGTGGGAGGTGAAGCAGGCCAAGGTCGGCTTCCGTCGGCTGATGCAGATGAACAAGGACAAGACGTGGGCTATTATTCTAGGGTTTATCGGCTCGGCTCTGACCGGTGCTAGCGGCCCTGTCAATGCAATTCTCTTTGGTGAGGTTCTCGGCGTTCTGGGTTACTATCAGGTAGACAAGGATGTGAAGGCCCTGCGCAGTGGTACGAACCTCTATGCGCCGCTGTTCATGGTGTTCGCCGCCTCCACGTTTCTTGGATGGTCGCTGCAAGGCTTTTACGGCTACGCCGGCGAGCACCTGACCACCAAGATCCGTGTGCTGCTCTTCCGCCAGATTCTGCGCCAGGACATGAGCTTCTTCGACATTCCCGGCCGTGATGCGGGCACGCTGGCTGGAATGCTGTCCGGTGATTGCGAGGCGGTGCACCAGCTGTGGGGACCTTCCATTGGTCTGAAGGTGCAGACTGCATGCAGCGTCGCAGCAGGTCTCATTGTCGGCTTCGTCTATCAGTGGAAGCTGGCCTTCGTTGCGCTGGCCTGCATGCCTGTTGTTGCGTTGTGCAACTTATTGCAGCGGCGTTTAATGATGGGTTACACGCAGAAGAAGGAGGGTGACAGCGACGACACGATCGTGACGGAGGCGCTGTCCAACGTGCGCACTGTGACCTCCTTCAACCTGAAAGATGACCGCGTGAGGGCCTTCAAGGAAATCCTTGACGATGAGACACCGCGGGAGGTGAAGAAGGGCATCGTTGTCGGTGTGCTCTACGGCATCTCGCAGTTCGTATTTTACGGGGTGTTTGCGCTTTGCTTCTGGTACGGTGGCAAGCTCATCAAAAAAGGCGAGGCCAACTTTCAGGAGGTCGTCATTAGTTCCATGTCGGTGCTGATGGGTGCCATGGGTGCTGGAGAGGCCGGTGGCTTTGCCACTAAACTCGCCGATGCGGAGAAGGCAACGGCCCGGGTCTTCAGCGTGATCGACCGTGTGCCGGACGTGGACCCCTACAGCCGCGGCGACGAGGAGCTCGGCGAGGGCTGCGACATCAACTTCCGCAAGGTGCAGTTCATCTACCCCGCGCGCCCGAAGCAGGTGGTGCTGGCGTCCGTGGACCTGAACTTTGCGGACAGCACGACGAACGGGCTGATGGGGCAGACGGGCTGCGGCAAGTCGACCATCATCCAGATGCTGGCGCGCTTCTACGATCGCCGCTCGGGCCTGATCACGGTGAACGGGAAGGACATATCGACGCTGGACATCGAGGAGTGGCGCCGCAACATCAGCATTGTGCTGCAGGAGCCGAACCTGTTCAGTGGAACGGTGCGCGAGAACATCCGCTACGCGCGCAGCGACGCGACGGACGACGAGGTGGAGGAGGCGGCGAAGCTTGCGCACATCCACCACGAGATCGTCAAGTGGCCGGAGGGCTACGACACGGACGTGGGCTACAAGGGCCGCGCGCTGTCTGGTGGGCAGAAGCAGCGCGTGGCGATTGCGCGCGGTCTGCTGCGCCGCCCGAAGCTGCTGCTGCTGGACGAGGCGACGAGTGCGCTGGACAACGTGACGGAGGCGAAGGTGCAGAAGGGCATCGATGCCTTCCAGACGAAGTACGGCATCACGACGGTGAGCGTTGCGCACCGTCTGACGACGATCCGCAACTGCGACCAGATTATTTTGCTAGACACCGGCCACATCATTGAAGAGGGCAACCACGACGAGCTGATGCGGCTGAATGGCGAGTACAAGACCCGGCTACGACTTGTACATGAATGCAGTCAGTTGACGTTGACGCCGTTGGGGTCGCACGCTACGGAGGTGGTGCTGTCAAGGAGTGCACCACTTCCCGCACAGCAGGAGCTGCATTTCTATCCCGGCCTGTCATCACATTTGCCGCTCTTCCTTCACTTTCATCTCTGCCGTTGTTCGGAGTTTTCAACCGTGGGAAAGGAAAACGCGAAGGACGAGCGGCGTTGTTCCTCCTTTCGTGATCGTTTGAGACTTTTGTTCGTCGGGCAAAGAGTAGCAAGTGCAGTTTTTTTTTCCTTTGACATGGAGTGTCTTGCTTTCTGTGTATTCACACGAGTGTAAGCGCTTGTGCATAAGTTTTTTTTTTAATCACCTGCTGTGTTGTGCTCGATGCTTCTTTTACGTAGCGGGGCGTGTCGTTGTTACGCACGCTGCGGAGGTTGAAATTACGAGAGTTCTGTGGACGATTGGGCTCGCCTTCACCAGACGCAGGGGAGGAGAGTCGCAATAGAGACGTTTGCTGCCGCTATCGGTGCACGATATCTTGTTTCGGGGTGCAGACACTGCGACAAACGCCTCGCCGTACTTAAAGGGAAACAACAGAAGAAAGTCAAACAAGTGGGTGTAGGCAACGTATCTTAAGTGTGTGGGTAAACGAGACGATCGCATCGCTCAGTGAAGCTCATATTTCATAACACAGTGCGTCACGCGTGTTACAGGGGGGGGGGGGGCACGAAATGGCGCGTTCTTGCGATGCCTGGATGTACGACTATAACTGGAACCACCTGAACACACACGCGCACGTACAAGATTTACTTCCACTTGCGGTTAGCGATAGGTGTTGTGCGGTGGAATTGCAAGGGTGCTATCGCCCTCAGCATTAAAGAGAGGTAAATGCATAGGTTATGCGCTTTTCCTTGCAGGCACGCTTATACTTCTGCGTTACCTGTTTCATCTCTTTTCATTTCATTATCGATCCCTTTACTCCTGCTTCCCTTTTTGTTTCGTTTCTGGTTCCTTTTTTTTTCAATCTCGGATGACGTTTTTTGGCTCTCCCCCTTGCAAACAACTGCAAACACACAGAATTGCTTTTGCATGCTATTCCGCTTCTTCTTGCAACGACGCATTCTTATTGTTTCTCTTCTAAAGCATACGGACCCACACGCAAAGGAATACGAAAAGCACTCACAACATTTTAAAAATACCCTGTAGCGAAGCGACTCACTTCCTCCCATAGTAATTGTGTTTTGCTCCTCACCCTTCTCTACCTTTAGTTTCAAAGTGTACATCATTTCCATATTTTCGTATATCTCTGCACGTGAACAGTTCGTGCTTTCCTTTCCGTTTTTTTTTTCGTTTTTCGAGGTTCTTCTGTTCTTCTTTCTTTGCTTTTTTCCCCCAATATATATTTTATTCCTTTTCGATCGCTGGCGCATCTTTTCCTTCGCGAAAGTGTGAAAGGCGCGAGTTTTTTCTTGTCTCCTCTTTTGTTTTCACGCTCGCGCAATTCCGCGATTCTTCTACTGGCGCGTTCATCATCTCTTCGGTTTGCCTATAAGGATCGGTGCCACAGACTGTCATCCAAGTGCTCTGGAATAAACAACGACTGGGTGTTGCGCATATTCCGAGTATTTGATTTGAAGAAAAAACAAAAGAAATATTGTGCTCGCGACTCCTCTTTTGCACTCTGCTCTCCCGACACTTTTCCTTTCTTGCTCAGCAGTCAGACAGATTGACACAAAGCTGACACAACGGAAAACTGACGGTTTCAACAGAGAGCGAAGAATCGAGGAGGAGATACACAGGCGGTCTTCAAACCCGAAAAGCCTGGTGTGTGTCCCTTTCATTTAGTTTTCCTTGCGTTGTGTGTGTGTGTGTGTGAGCGCGTTACGCGGGTTGATCCGTGATCGGGGTCTATAACATCTACCTTATCGTTGTTCCCCTGCAGATAGGCGAACTTTGCTAAGAGTACGCGTTCTTTGCTTTTTCTTTGTGCGGTTTCTTTCCCATTTCCTTCATTCCAGCCGTTCGTTTTTTACGGGAGGGAGCTGCAGACCTTTTCCATCACAGCTGCTGACCTGCCCGACATACGTTGTTAACTTCTTCTACGCACACTCTTCGAGCGTCAGCATCAATTTGACGTGTTTTTAAAAACGAAACGAGGCCTTCGAGGAGCTCTTGATACGCAAGCAGCCAGCACTGCTTCGAAGACATGCGCGCCTCCGAACCCACGAGCGACGACGCTCACGCTCCACTTGGTAACAGGGGCAATGAAGATGAAGTGAGTGCGACCTCGCGGGTGAACCAAGACCGCCCGTCTGTCTTCTCGCGGGAGCCGGACAGGCTGCAGCCGGGTGAGGTGGAGTCGCAGCTGTCCAGCAACGCACACTTTGGACAGCGCGCGAATTCTGGTGGGGGTTGCTTCCAGGGCGAGAAGGACGCTGTGGCAGCAGTCTTGGGCGAAAAGAAGTCGCGGAGCACGAGCGACCTCTCGCCAACCTCTAGCTACCTCAAGAAGTCCAGCGAGAGCGACAGCGACAGTGACGTGATGCGGGCGGCCTTCTCTGCCGAGGAGATCATCAAGCCCACCGGCAAGAATGAATGCGTCTCTTTCTTCGGCATCTTCCGCTACGCAGATAGGGCGGATAAGGCCCTTATGATTGTGGGCATATTCTGCGCCGTGGTCTGCGGTGGTGGTCTGCCCGCCTTCTCCTTTGTGTTTGGTCGCATCTTGAACGATCTCTTGGTGTCGAACGACCCTGTGAAGGCAACTTCCAGTACTGCTCTCATCATGGTGTACATCGGCATCGGCGTGTTCGTGGTGTGCGGTGGACACGTGTTGTGTTGGACCATCGCGGCCAGCCGCCAAATGGCTCGCATCCGCCTGCGCTTCTTTGAGGCGGCGCTGCGGCAGGACATTGGCTGGCACGACGAGCACAGCCCCGGCGAGCTGACGGCGCGCATGACGGGTGACACGCGCGTGATTCAGAACGGCATCAACGACAAGCTCTCCCAGGGTGTGATGAACGCCTCGATGGGCCTTCTGGGTTTTATCTTCGGCTTTGTTTTTTGCTGGGAGCTGACGTTGGTGATGCTCGGCATGATGCCCTTCATTGCCATTATGGGTGCTGCGATCGGGAGCATCATGGCGAAGATGACAGAGCAAACGCGCAAGCACTTTGCCAAGGCCGGTTCGATGGCGACGGAGGTGATGGAAAACATCCGCACGGTGCAGACCTTCGGCAAGGAAGAGTACGAGACACAGCGCTTCGGGGAATCCGTTTTGGAGGCACAAAAGAAAGGCATTCGTAAGGAGTTTATCAGCACCGGCTCGGCCGGTATTATCATGGCGCTGGTCTTCATCACGTACACCATCGCCTTCTTCTTTGCCTCGTACCTCGTGCAGTGGGGACGAGTGGAGATGAAAGGTGTCATTTCGACCTTCTTATCCGTGCTGATAGGCAGCTTTGGTCTGGGTTTTGTCGCACCGAGTACTACCGCCTTCGCAGAGTCGCGTGCAGCCGCGTACGAAATCTTCAAGGCCATCGACCGTGTGCCGCCCGTGGACATTGATGCCGGCGGTGTTCCTGTAACCGGCTTCCGTGATAGCATCGAGTTCCGCAGCGTGAAGTTCGCCTACCCGACGCGTCCCGACATGATGCTGTTCCGCGATCTGAGCCTGACGATCAAGTGCGGTCAGAAGGTTGCCTTCTCCGGCGCGTCTGGCTGCGGCAAATCGTCGATGATCGGCCTCGTGCAGCGCTTCTACGACCCGCTTGGCGGCGCCGTGCTGTGCGACGGGGTGGACATGCGCGAGCTGTGCCTGCGCGACTGGCGCGACCAGATCGGCATTGTGTCGCAGGAGCCGAACCTGTTTGCCGGCACGATGATGGAGAACGTGCGCGTGGGCAAGGTGGACGCGACGGAGGAGGAGGTGATCGAGGCGTGCAGGCAGGCGAACATCCACGACACGATCATGTCGCTGCCGGACCAGTACAACACGTCTGTGGGTGCCGTCGGGTCGCAGCTGTCCGGCGGGCAGAAGCAGCGTATCGCGATTGCGCGCGCGCTGGTGAAGCGGCCGCCGATCCTGCTGCTGGACGAGGCGACGAGTGCGCTGGACCGGAAGTCTGAGCTGGAGGTGCAGGGTGCGCTGGACCAGCTGATGCTGAAGGGCGGCATGACGGTGATCATCATTGCGCACCGCCTGGCGACGATCCGCGACGTGGACTGCATCTACTACGTGAAGTACGATGGCGTGGAGGGCAGCAAGATCACGGAGAGCGGCACGTTCGACGAGCTGATGGCGATGGGCGGTGAGTTCGCTGCGATGGCGAAGATCCAGGGCGTGCCTGCGGACGGCGGCCGCGCGGGCGGCAAGAGCGAGACGGCGAAGGCGAAGAAGGACCTCCTGAACGTGATCCTGGACGAGGCTGCGCTGGCGAAGCTGGATGCGGAGGCGCCGCGCACGGAGCGACAGAAGGTGCCCATCGAGATCTTGGCCAAGTGGGAGGTGAAGCAGGCCAAGGTCGGCTTCCGTCGGCTGATGCAGATGAACAAGGACAAGACGTGGGCTATTATTCTAGGGTTTATCGGCTCGGCTCTGACCGGTGCTAGCGGCCCTGTCAATGCAATTCTCTTTGGTGAGGTTCTCGGCGTTCTGGGTTACTATCAGGTAGACAAGGATGTGAAGGCCCTGCGCAGTGGTACGAACCTCTATGCGCCGCTGTTCATGGTGTTCGCCGCCTCCACGTTTCTTGGATGGTCGCTGCAAGGCTTTTACGGCTACGCCGGCGAGCACCTGACCACCAAGATCCGTGTGCTGCTCTTCCGCCAGATTCTGCGCCAGGACATGAGCTTCTTCGACATTCCCGGCCGTGATGCGGGCACGCTGGCTGGAATGCTGTCCGGTGATTGCGAGGCGGTGCACCAGCTGTGGGGACCTTCCATTGGTCTGAAGGTGCAGACTGCATGCAGCGTCGCAGCAGGTCTCATTGTCGGCTTCGTCTATCAGTGGAAGCTGGCCTTCGTTGCGCTGGCCTGCATGCCTGTTGTTGCGTTGTGCAACTTATTGCAGCGGCGTTTAATGATGGGTTACACGCAGAAGAAGGAGGGTGACAGCGACGACACGATCGTGACGGAGGCGCTGTCCAACGTGCGCACTGTGACCTCCTTCAACCTGAAAGATGACCGCGTGAGGGCCTTCAAGGAAATCCTTGACGATGAGACACCGCGGGAGGTGAAGAAGGGCATCGTTGTCGGTGTGCTCTACGGCATCTCGCAGTTCGTATTTTACGGGGTGTTTGCGCTTTGCTTCTGGTACGGTGGCAAGCTCATCAAAAAAGGCGAGGCCAACTTTCAGGAGGTCGTCATTAGTTCCATGTCGGTGCTGATGGGTGCCATGGGTGCTGGAGAGGCCGGTGGCTTTGCCACTAAACTCGCCGATGCGGAGAAGGCAACGGCCCGGGTCTTCAGCGTGATCGACCGTGTGCCGGACGTGGACCCCTACAGCCGCGGCGACGAGGAGCTCGGCGAGGGCTGCGACATCAACTTCCGCAAGGTGCAGTTCATCTACCCCGCGCGCCCGAAGCAGGTGGTGCTGGCGTCCGTGGACCTGAACTTTGCGGACAGCACGACGAACGGGCTGATGGGGCAGACGGGCTGCGGCAAGTCGACCATCATCCAGATGCTGGCGCGCTTCTACGATCGCCGCTCGGGCCTGATCACGGTGAACGGGAAGGACATATCGACGCTGGACATCGAGGAGTGGCGCCGCAACATCAGCATTGTGCTGCAGGAGCCGAACCTGTTCAGTGGAACGGTGCGCGAGAACATCCGCTACGCGCGCAGCGACGCGACGGACGACGAGGTGGAGGAGGCGGCGAAGCTTGCGCACATCCACCACGAGATCGTCAAGTGGCCGGAGGGCTACGACACGGACGTGGGCTACAAGGGCCGCGCGCTGTCTGGTGGGCAGAAGCAGCGCGTGGCGATTGCGCGCGGTCTGCTGCGCCGCCCGAAGCTGCTGCTGCTGGACGAGGCGACGAGTGCGCTGGACAACGTGACGGAGGCGAAGGTGCAGAAGGGCATCGATGCCTTCCAGACGAAGTACGGCATCACGACGGTGAGCGTTGCGCACCGTCTGACGACGATCCGCAACTGCGACCAGATTATTTTGCTAGACACCGGCCACATCATTGAAGAGGGCAACCACGACGAGCTGATGCGGCTGAATGGCGAGTACAAGACCCGGTGGGAGCTATACAACAGCGCCACTTCGAGTTAGGCGTACGCCAAATCTTTCCTTTTTCTTCTTTTCGACGGTGGTGTTGCGGTTCGTTTTTGTTCTGTGCCGCGTACAATCGTTCTCGAGATGCTTTTCAGCCAACGACAGCAGTGTGGCCACTAGCGGCGCTCCGGTGCTCCCACAGTTTTGCGCGCCCCTAACCTCAGGCAGTGTTTGCATTCTCCTCTTTCTTCATATCAGCGAGATGATGTGGGTGAGAGAAGAATTCTTTCTGCTTACAACGCGTCCCTTTTTTTTTTAAGAAGCACCTGGTAACCTTTTAAAGGGTGTTTTAATTTTCGTTTTGTTGGTCTCAAGCCGCGACCATGGGGGTTTACATTGTCTCTAAAGCGCAACGGAAGCGAGGGACTCTTTCTTTCTGCTCCTCTCCTTTCTGCCGTACTCGCTAGGAAACGCTTACAGCCGGCTCTCGCTCCCAAGCCTTGTTTGGTGTGATGTCTTGTGCGTGATATTCGTTGTTTTTCTCCTCTCTACCCTTCCCCCCTCCCCCCTATGTTCTCGGTGTCACATAAATATTTTTAACCTTGAAGTTTCCTCCTCTTTCTCTCAATTTCACTTTCGTTGTTTTGATTTTTGTGTTGTTTGCTTGACCTTTTTCCCCTTTCTTGTGCCTCTCGATATGTATATCCCGGTTTTGTGTCCTCACCTTCCTTGGCTATTATTGTTATTATTATTCCTTCTCCTCCGCAATTCACGTTTACGGAGCGGTTTGCGTTGTTGCTCGGTGTCAGGCCTCCTTCGGCGCAAGACTCGACGCACAACGTTCGACATCCAAGAAACCATTAACTATATGTAGCACACATGCTTCTTTTGTTCGTTTGGTTTAATTTTTTGTTGTTTTAGTATATATATATATATATTTCTTTCACGCCCTCAGTCGATGTGTTGTTCCGCTCCACTGGAAACGGGTGAAGGTGAGGTGCGCTTTGGGCAACTGCTTTCAAACAAGCGGTGTTGAGAGCTCAAAGGTCTCGCTTCCTCTCTTTCCTCGCCGTACCGCTTGCATTTTTATTTACTCAAGCCTTTTTTTTTCGGTGGCGCGTAGTTTATTCGATGTTTTCCAGAAGGGTTTCACAGCTGGAGCGTTGCGGAAAAGGAAAGAGGATGCGTGTAAAAGGGAAACTATCGGACTGTCGCTTTATGCTCCGTTATTCTCTGCTACTGGTGTGTGCTGAGAGCGAAAGAAGGAAGAAGGTACACATGGCGCTTAGGAAGCGAGGTCGTCTCGTGTGATGGCTGTTCTTTTTGGTTTGTGACTGGCTTGCTTCTTGACTGCAAACAACTTTTCCCGTCGTAGCTCCTTTCCGGTGCACTGCGCTGCATTGAATTACGCGGCTCTACTTTTTTTTTCTGGCTTCTTCTCCCCGCATGCGCACTCTGGTGGTGGAGTCGAAGAGCTGTGATTTGCGGGTGAGCCTGAAGTTGGACACAACGCAACGCAAAGCCGAGTAAGTGAAGGAGCAATGCGCACGCAAGGCAGATGGAGTGTTGTGCAGACTTTTATTAAACCAAGAACTTTGGCTTTTCACTGCCGTTTCGTGCACCCAAAGAAAACCTGTGGAGCCTTGATGGGCTTCTTCTTGAGCTCACAATATGTGTGAGATGGCGAGGCGCACACATTTGTAGTCACACTGGTAAACAGCAAATAAGGGAGAAACGCCTGAAAAACAAAAAGAAGCATTCAATGATGTAGCGAAACTGGATCGACAGATGATTTGCCTTCGTTGCGTTGATCGATGGTTCTATTTGTTTTTTTTTCTTCTCCCCTTTCACGTAACACTTACCCTTCCCCAGGCTCTTGTTCACGTAACCGTCCCCTGGTATTGTAGGAAAGAAATGCTTCTTCTGTTTCTTTTTAAAGCTGTTAAATACGGTACGTAAGGAGAGTTGTGAATGAAGCAGGAGAGAACGAAAAAAAAAAAATAAATAATACAAAAACGGTTTGCAGCAAATAAGCTGCGCGCTAGAAGTTCAACTTATCTGGCTCTTTCCGTTTGTTTTTGCTCTCGTCCACCGCGTGGTATGGAACGCATGGCTTTCTTCAGCTATTTTTGTGTGTGTACACGGCAACGAATTCCCCTCTCCCTCAACTGGGTCATCTGAAGTTTTGTTTTCTCTACTCCGTTTTGTTTCGTTTTATCTTTCTTTCTGTGCTTCCATGACAACTTTTCCGGCACGATGTAGCATCGAATGAGGGTTTTTGTTGTTCTCGTTTTACATCTTCCCTTTAACTCCTTTGAGTTTTTTTTTTCTCCTCTTTTCTTTTTCTTAAACAATTGAAAGGCCTGTGTTTGTGTTCTTCTTACCTCCTTGTCTCTTTCACTGGTGCCTCTCTGCCATTGAAGTGATTATTTCTTTTCCTTTCCTTCTCCGATTATTCCGCTACGCAAACGGATGAAAGGCGTGCGTGGACACGCTCACAACGGCAGACGTCGCGATAAGACCTCTGTTGTTGTTTGTGTGTGTGTGTGCGCGTGTTTGCATGTAAATGTTGTATTATAAGGCATAGCTTTTTAAAAAAATACAAGTACTTAACTGTCTCTTGCAGTGAGCTGCACATTGCGGTGGAGCCAGTGTATATGCGATGCGGGGTGAAACCGCGCAGCGTAAGCGAAGGGTTGAACACACATATACATAGTGAATGAATAGAAAATTCAAACCTGTGTCGATAGTAGCGTGGTTTTCTTTTCTTCCTCGTTGCTACTCTGCACTTTTTTTTTTCCGCAAAAGCCACACGATAAGAACTGCAATGCATCCTTCAGCGATTCGATGTGGTCTAATTTGCGTTGCACGCGCTGTTCCCTTGCTGTCTTTTTCGTTACTGCTACTGTGCAGTTCTCGCCGTGCACACAAAGAAGTCCAAGCGGACTTTTCATACTTCTCACTGTCAGGAAGCAGACAGGCAAACACGAAAGAAACACGCTTGGTGCTCCATGCGCGGGAGTGCAGGTGTGGGAACGGCCCTATGCGCAGATGTGTGGGCTCCTCCTACTCCGCCGCTCTTTTTTTTAATTCGTTTCAGCTTTATGGCAGTTGAATGTGAGAAATGCGTTTCCGAAAGACGGCGAGAAAAGATGTGCTGTCAACGTGGAGAAGGGACGGGGAGTGCTGGAAAACCGTTAACACAACGGAAGAGGGGATACAGCAACAACACAGAAGAGGCCGCCTTCTCCGTCTCGACCGCAAGAAGGCCGTGAACCTGACTGGCGGCATCGTGTCGCTCATCGCAGCGTCTGCTCGTTATCCTCCGCTCCTTTGCATTTTCCCTGCCTGATCACCAAATCGAAGTGCATGCGTTTCTCCTGTTTTGTTTGTTTCTGTATAATTGGCCCATACGTCACGCATCAGAGCTTCCCTCCGCTATATATATATATAGAAACGTGAAGCTGAGCGGAGTGCTCAACACTTTATATCCACAAACTTGCATCGTCAGTGGAGGTGATGCGTTAAAAAGTGTATTTTGTTTTTGAAATTTTAGTTTTCAAATATTGATAAGGTTTGAAAGATATTTTTCTCTCTTGTTTTCTCCTGTTATTTCGTCCTACAAGATGAGTCAATTAGGAAAAAAATAATAAAGAATGTAATAATTGCAGTAAGAAACAATCAATGCATTTGCTTTCCTCAGCGTGCAATCCTCGCGTCATGAGTCATCAGATATGGAGGGAAAACTCCTCTCCGAGGAGAATTTCTGAATGGAGCCGGAGAGTGCTGAGCAGAGGATGCCCCCTCATGCATTTAACAGGCACTTCCCCAGTGCGTCGTGCATTTTGAATAAGATGCGGCTTCGACGGCTACAATAGGCTCGTGTGCATCTTGAACTCCCACCACTGTGGACAATCCTCTTCCTTTTTTTAAATTTCTCTTCAGTAGCTTCTCTCTCTCATAGGTAGAAAACAACAACAAAAAAAGGAAATCGAAGTACAGACGCGCTCGTCGCTGTCGTACGTAACCTGGCATCAAACCTGCGGCGGCGGGCCGGGTCGTTTCTCACCGGGCCACAACTGGCATTTTCGAAGAGCAGTGGGGAGGTTTATCTCCCCTTATTCGTTGCGTTAATATATATATTTCTACTATTATTCTGGCTTGCGCTCTTTTTTTTCCCTTAAACGAAATTGTCCTTCACTTCTGGATATTGTAATGGCGTCGGAGTATAAGCAGCGGGAGACCGTCGGCGTGGAGGACCTCGTCCTGCTTCCGCAGATAACCGAGAAGGCCATCACGGACGACCTTGCCGTGCGACACAAGGCAGACCTGATCTACACCAACATCGGCTCCGTCCTCCTTGTGGTGAATCCTTTTAAGCAGATTCCCGGCTTGTACAATGAGGCCCACATGGAGTTCTATCGCCACAGCGGCCGGCGGGGTGACGTAGGCGATGCGCTGCTGGAAGGGCAGGAGCCAGGCGACGCCGCCCTCGGTGGACCGCACATCTTCGCCCTGGCCGAGGAGACCTACCGCAGCATGGTGTCCGAGGAGGAGAACCAGTGCATCATCATTTCTGGCGAGTCGGGCGCGGGCAAGACGGAGGCGTCGAAGCAGATTATGCAGTACATCTCCGCCGTGTCGGGCAACACGCGCGACATGCAGAAAATCAAACGCATCATTCTCGAATCGAATCCGCTGCTGGAGGCGTTTGGCAATGCCAAGACGCTGCGCAATGACAACAGCTCGCGGTTTGGGAAGTTTTTGGAAATCTACTTCGACATCCGCGGCGGCCCGATCGGGGGCCACCTGACCCACTTCTTGCTGGAGAAGTCGCGCGTTTCGAGCCAGCAGGAAGGGGAGTGCAACTTCCACGTTCTTTACCAGCTCTGCGTCGGCGCCGCGGAGGCACTCGCAGGCCCTGCAGCCTCCTCCTCCAGGGCGCCCACCGCCAAGGGAAGAACGAAGGAAGCGAAGGACGAAGGGGCGTCTGACCTGGACGGCGACGATTCTATCGACTGGGCCGAGTTGTTCAGCGATATGCACATGCAGGGTCTCTCGGACAGCGTCGGCTACATACGGCTGGGCGAGGTGACGAACGTGTACCCGTGGAGGTACCTGCGTCCCGTCACCGCCCCTGGCCGGCACGCCGACGACTTCACGCCCCGCACCGGCATCAACGATGCGCGGGGCTGGCAGGAGACCCTTCTCGCGATGGCGGAGATGGGCATGACGAAGGACGATCAAACAGCCGTTGTGAAGGTACTGTGCCTCGTCCTGCACTTCGGTGAGTTGGAGTTCATCGCGCCGGAGGAGGGTGGTGAGTTGGCAGCAGGGCAGCGGCCCTGCACCTTGGCGAATCCCGAGGTGCTCGATTTTATCGCGCAACACCTCGGCGTGGACGCAAAGGCGCTGCTGAAGGCTCTCACGTGGCGCAAGCTGCAGATGGGTGCGACGGAGGTTGTCTTCTCGCCGCTCGATGCACAGCAGTGCCGCAACATGCGCGATGCCATTGCCAAGGCCCTCTATGAGGGTGTTTTTGAGTTCATCGTCAGCTCCGTCAACATCGCCTTTGGCGACGCCTCGCACGCGCTGATGCTGGGCGTGCTGGACATCTACGGCTTTGAGATCTTCGCTAAGAACGGCTTTGAGCAGTTCTGCATCAACTACGTGAACGAGAAGCTGCAGCAGATCTTTATTGAGCTGACCCTGCGCGTGGAACAGGAGGAGTACGTGCGGGAGAACATTCCGTGGGAGGCCATCAAGTACTTCGACAATCAGATCGTGTGCGACCTCATCGAGAGCAACCGCCCGCCCGGCCTGTTCGCCATCATGGACGACGTGTGCATTACCATGGCCAAGGAAGAGGAGTCCGTGGCGGATCGAAAGCTGCTGGACAAGCTCGACATGACCTACCACTCCCACCCCAACTTTGTGCGCAGCGAGCGCGGCTTCATCATCAAGCACTACGCCGGCGATGTCGAGTACAGCACGGACGGCTTTATTGGCCGCAACAAGGACCGGCTGGGTGTCGATGTGGTGGACGTGCTCTCGCAGTGCAAGAACAGCTTCGTGCTGGAAATTTTGACGGAGGTGCTGGCGGATGGGCTGGCGGCCGCGTCCCCCACCGGCGCGGGTGCAGGTGGTAGCGGTGCCGGTGCCACCACGCGACGGGCCTCCACCACGGCCGGCTTCAAAATCCGTCAGCAAGCGGCCGACCTCGTGCGCACGCTGAAGCAGTGCACCCCACACTACGTCCGCACCATCAAGTCGAACGACGTAAAGCGCGGCAACTTTTTTGACGAGGCCCGCGTGCTGCACCAGGTGAAGTACCTCGGGCTGCTGGAGAACGTGCGGGTGCGACGCGCGGGGTACAGCTATCGGCAGTACTTCGACCGGTTCCTGAAGCGGTTCAAGTACACCTGTCCCAGCACCTACCCCCGTCCGTTTCGCGGCACCGACAAGGCGGCGTGCGAGACGATCTTGTCCTACCTGCAAAACGAGCAAGGGGTGGTGCCGCCGCAGTCGTATGCCATTGGCACGAGTAAGGTGTTCATTCGGCAACCGGAGCACGTGCTGGCGCTGGAGCAGAGCCGCGAGGCCGCCTTTCACGCCCTCGCTGTCACCGTCCAACGCGCGTGGCGGAGCTACGTGCAGCGGAAGCGGCTGCTGCGGTTAAAGGCGAAGATCGACCGCACGTACCAGCGCCGCGGCAAGATGCGCCGCGCCGACAGCGTGTTTCGCGCTTACGAAGGACTCTACGTGGATGTGGATTCCGTCGTGGCCGCTGCGGGACCGCAGACCTCGCTCGGTGCAGCCGGCGGCGCCGTTCCGCGTGCTCTCTCCAGTCGCCTCGCCGCCGCGACGGAGGCGATGTTTCAATTCGACCCCATCGCACGGGCGTGGCGCGCCTTCTGGAGCTCCACGGGCGAGGTGGGGCAGCAGCGAAAGCGATTTTTTGTGAACGCGCTCACGCGGGCGACGGTGTGGGAGCGGCCGCGCGAGTTGGATCCGCCGCGGGTGGTGTTTTCGTGTGTGGTGGAGCGCGTGGTGAACTGGGCGACGGCGAAGACGGTGAAGGAGTTTCTCTTTCTGACGAACCACGACGTGCTGTACATGGTGCGTGAGAGGCCGAAGACGGCGGACGAGGCGGATGGCGCTTTGAACCACAAGAAGAAAGGAAAGGACGCAAAGGCGAAGACAGTGGCTGCCCACGGCATGGATGGGGAGGTCACGCTGGAGCCCTGCTTCACACTGCAGAAGCGCATTGATCTGCGTCTGCTCACGCAGGTCGCCATCAGCGCCATGGCTGACACTGTGCTGGTGCTGCGAACACTGCCGGTCCTCGCCCCGTATCGACCCGTCTTGAATACGGTGCGAACGAAAGCAGGACCGACGCGGTGCGAGGCGTGCGGGCGTCAGGCGACGCCGGCGATGCGCCGCGCCAACTGCCCCAGCTGCGGACGGCTGTGCTGCGTGCGCCATTGCCTCGTCCACGATCGGCCGCTGCCCACCATCAACGGTCTCGCAACGCCCGTGCACGTCTGTCCCGCCTGCGTTGCTGGCGAACCGCTCGAGGCGGTGGCGGACGTGGTGCTGCTGACTCCCTTCAAGACGGAGCTGGCCGGCACTCTCTGCACGCACTACCAGGAGCGCATGGGCAACCCTCTGCCGCTGCTCGTGTCAAACTCGATTCCCTTCGCCGTGTGGACGCCGGCGGCGCCGCTCGAAAAGAAGAAAGGCGCGCCGAAGCGGGCAGCCACAGCGAAGGACAAGAAGGGAAGCGCTGCTGCTGCAGCTGTGGTGCTGGATGAGGCAGAGGAACTGCCAGGCGTGCTTGGCGGATCGTACGAGGTGGCAATGACGTGTGTGGCCGCTGACGATGTGCGGACGGCAGAAACGGTGCTCGTGCCGGCCATCTCGCCTGCAGCACCGGCGGCGTTGCCGGAGGCCGAGAAACGCAAAGGGCTCAGCGCCGCTGCGGGGACGGCCAAGTCGACCCAAAAGAAGGCGAAGAAGGAAGGGGGCGACTATGACGATGGCCTGGCCGCGGTGCCACCCGACACGCCAAAGGTGTTGACGGTGGTGTCGCCGTGCGGCATCACGGCGGCGCAGATTCAGCGCATGGAAGCGGTGCGCGAGGAGCGACGCAAGGTGGCCGCCGCGCGGCGCCGCCTCGAGGAAGAGGAGGAGCGCCGGCGCGAAGCGCAGCGAGAGGCGGAGCGGGCCGCAGAGCACCGTCGCGTGGTGGAGGAGCGCAAGAAGACCAAGGCGGCGGAGACGGCCCGCATGGAGGCCGAGCGAGCGGCGCGTGAGAAGGTGGCAGCGGACCGGCGGGTGGAAGCGGCCCGGCTGGTGGCCGAGCGGGCGCGGCGGCGATAAACACGATGATGCTTTACAGAAACGGTGCTTTTGCTTGATCGTAGCTGTAAAGCGAGGAACAGCGCACGATCGCAAGCAGTCCTTGCTTCGTTTTTATTTCCTCTCTTTCTTCTTGCGTTGTCTTACCGCTCCTCCTTTGTGCACCAAACAGCACTCCGCGCGAAATGAAAGCACAATGCATCTACTTCGGGAAAAGAGCAGCCTTGTTATGCTCTTTTTATTGTTCTTCTTCGCATGCGATCCGGTCGACTCTTCCATCGCGAGGGCTTTCCAAAATACCCTATCGTCTGCACTCGCATCCTGCGTGTCGACGCGGATCTAAACGAGTCGGCAGGCACTAAAGCGTCCGTGTAAAGCGCGCAAGAACAAACAAAATCAATTTTTGTGCTCTCATAAAAGAAATTCCAACTGGCCTGTAGCGTTCACGTCTTCGTCACTTTGCCGTGTGTGTTCACTTCACATCCCATCTCTGAAAAGGTATTCTGACCTGCTTTCTTCAATCTACACCCCCGGCCAGTTACCGTGGAGAGAAGATAAAGAGAGACGCTATTGCCGCATCCCTACTTTGTCATCGTAAATATACATGTAGAGAAAATAATTTCGATATGAAATTGAAAACCGCAATGAACCCTCTGATTTCGTCATCCACGTTGGCCTCTCCATGTGTGGTGGGCACGCTGCCACCTTCGCTGATAGCAGTCGTCTCTCAAGCGTCGCACAGTGTCATTGCCTACCTCTCCGCTGAGCTGCCACCGGCCGATGTTGGGAGTGCAGGAACGTCAATGGGCAGTAACGCAGTCGATTCTACCCTCCCGGGCGCAAAAAAAGCGCTGAGGTACGCCGTCTTTGAGGATGCGGCGACCCAGCGCCGTTGGACTGTGGAGCTGAGCAGCAACCGCGACCGCAACAACAGCTCTCTTGCATCTGAAGAGACTGAATCGTGGAGTGTTGACGTGGACCTTTCAAATGGGGTGCAACCACCCGACACGACGAGTGGGGCTAGTGCCGCATCCGCCGCAGCGGCAGCTTCAGGTGTAGGGCCTCTCACAGGTCCCAAACACGTTATGCAGCAGGACACGTGGAGGGAGACGGCCATGATGAAGCCACCACCGCCGCCCCTCGTGGCGCGTGTCCCGATTGCTGCCGCTGCCGCTGACGTAGTTGATGCCACCACGCTATCTACGGAACTCCAGCGAGAGGGAAAAGAGTCGACGAAGCAGGGAGTAACGGACATTAACGACGACGCGTCATCCACCTCCTCAGCTTTGACAGCAGCGGGCAACAACCCGAGCCCGGCGTCCGCAACTCCTGCGGTAGAACTTCCCAGGCCGCCTCATGCGCCGCCTCCGCCCATCACAAACGGCGCCGTCTCTTCTTTACACGGTCACTCTCTTGATGATCTCAAAAATCAGCACGGCGCGCTTCTCCGTCTGCTCGTACAGGTGCTCGCCCCGCAGCGGATGACCACGCCGCTTGTGGTGCGTAAGGTGTGCACGCGGTCGCCTGATGGGGCGGCCAGTTCGCTGTGTGAAGTGCACGACCCCTCGTCATCGTCGTCGGTGCTGCGCTACACTGACGCGGACGTCGCCACTGCAGTGGAGCTGCTCACCACCCCGCACCCACGCCATCCGAACCAGCGTGAGCTGAAAAGCGAGGCGTATCTCCTGATGAATCTTGATGGCTTCGCGGACGGTGAGCTGCGGCACAAGGCCGTCAACCGTGCGTACCCGGCCCTCGCACTTCACTGGCCCACGTCCGCTGCCCTTCTGGACGCGATGGAGCGCTACGTCGATCGGGAGGTGGTGCTGGAAACTCGCAAGCGGCACCCAAAACTGACGGCGCAGGACGGCAGTGGAGAGCAGCGCAAGCGACGGCGCTCTCATTCGTCCAGCGGCTCCGACAGTGGCTCGCGCGACAGCTCCGACAACGACGAAAGGGGAGCGCCGGCGACGGTCGGGCCGTCGGCCTCATCCAGACCTTCAAGCGATGACTCTCATGCATCTGTGCCGCCGCGGCAGCACACTACCCAGAAAACCTTCCAGTCGCTGCACGAGTATCCTCAATCGCTGGAGCGTGGCGATCTGCACGCGTGGCGCGACGGAGCAGAGGCGACGAAGGTGCGAGAGTGCCTGCAAGCCGCCACCACACTAGCGCAGCAGACACCATCTTCCAGTTCTGCGTCGGTGGCGGCGGCCTCAACATCAGTAGACTCAGCCACAACACTGTCCGTTTTGCCGATTGCTAATGCAGAAGACGTGGCGGTGCTGCGCGGCCAGTACGACGCCCTCGCCACCGCGGAGGCAGCGGTGGAGAGACGCTTGAGGGACTACCGTGACACAATACAGGAGCTCAAGGTGTGGTATCGCGCGGAGCAGTGCTCCCCCCACTTTCAGTCGGAGCTTGGTGCGTGGGTGCAGGCACAGGAGGAAGCCCGCGCTGAGCTGGTGGGCCTGCAAGAGAAGGTGCACATCGTGCGCTACAAGTTGGAGCGTGACTTAACGGACTATCTCCACCTGCATGCCTTACGAGTGCTGTGAGACAGCGAGGAAAAGAAAACAAATAAACTAGAAGGCTTCCCTCCGTGGCTCCTTTTTTTCGATTCCCCAACGGCTTTATTATTCTAAGGAAAGAGGGAGAGTTAAAGCGGTGCGGTTGTGGCCAGGACCTGTGGCGCAACGCTTGATTTAACGGACGAGCAACAGCAAAACTTTCAGGATTTTTTTCTTCTGCACTCAGGCACACCTTTTATCCCCCCCATTCCGTTATGCGGAAGAAGTCAAACGTTACCAACATACATGTATATATTTAAGTCAAGTTCTGTTGTTCTTTTCGACGTATCGCGTCTGTCTGCTCCATCTCCCGCCTGCCTTTCCTTTCTTTCGATCGGAACGCCTCAATACACACATATGATGCTTTCCGTGGCGAATAGAACGGAGGAAAGCAATCAAAAACCTTATTAAAAAAAAAAACCCAACGGTAGTAAGGAAGAATAGCACCCTAACGACTTCGCGATGTCAGCAGCAGCCAGCGCAGCAGAAAACGCAAACTGCAACTCAGGTGCGGCTCCCCAGCGCTCCTCACCGGTGGCTGGAAAGTCCAGCGAGGCACCGGGTGATAAACATCAGGGCGTGCCACCGCCGCCGTACTCGATGGACAGCGCCCTCGGCGGCCATCCCATGCCGCTCTACCAGCCACACGCGCCGGCACCGGGCGCGGTGATCGATCCCGACATGATTGAGGACCACATCAGCTTCCTCCGCACCGTGCGCGCCTTTCACCACTACAAGCGCCAGGCCATGGCGGCTCGCGAGATGCGCCGTACTAACTTCCGCAAGCTGCAGGATCAGCACCGCGATCTCTTGTGCATTGACTTAGACAAAATCCTCGACAAGTATCTGGAGTGCATTGAGGTAAACAGCACCTTCTTCGACGCCATCTGCGAAGCGAGCGAGGAGCTCTTCGACAGCTACTGGCCGGAGGGGACGACGGTGCGAATGGAGGAAGTGCCCCCGCCGACTCCGCTCGACATGGACAAGGTCTTCTCTACGCTGCGGCAGTTTGTCCGCGACTGGTCCGCCGAGGGGGTGGCGGAGCGAGACTGTGTGTACAAGCCGATCCTCGACACGCTGGAGCGCTGCTTCCCGAGTCGCAGCGAGCGCGAAAACGTGCGGGTGCTGATCCCCGGCGCGGGTCTGTGCCGCCTCTCCGTCGAGCTCGCCCTGCGCGGCTTTTTTGCCCAGGCGAATGAGTTTAGCTACCACATGCTTATCGCCGGGCACTACATCCAAAACCACGTGTTCGAGTCGTGCCAGCACCGCATCTACCCCTACAGCGACAGCACGTGCAACTTGGTCAACCGCGCCGACCAGTTTGCCGAGGTGCAAATACCCGACCTGTGCGCCTCTGAGGCGATCGACGCACTGCGGGACGAGGGCCTCAGCTTTGGGCAGCTCTCCATGGTGGCAGGCGACTTCACGGAGGTGTACGCGAAGCCGCATCAGCAAAAGACATGGTCAGTCGTTGCCACCTGCTTCTTCATCGACACGGCACACAACATTATCGAGTATCTCGAGATCATTTATAACCTGCTCGTGCCTGGCGGCTATTGGGTGAACGTAGGACCGCTGCTGTACCACTTCGCGGATAGCGCGGATGATATGTCGATTGAGCTGTCACTAGGAGAGGTGCTGACGGTGGCGCAGCGTATTGGATTTGTGCTGAACGGGCCGCCGACGTTCATTGATACGACCTACACAAACAACCAGCGGAGCATGAAGCAGCTGGTGTACCGCTGCGCCTTCTTTGTGTTGCAGCGTCCGCTGACGGACACACGTGAAAAGAACCACAAACAAGGGGGCACGGAGGTGAAGACGATCTAACATGCGCGATGTGCAGCTGCGATTTCTTTTTTTCTTTTCCTCTCGAGGGTCTCGTCTGTGATGAGCGAAAGAGGGGGAAAAGAAGACACGAAGCTTTACGTTCAAGGGTTGCTGATTGCAAGAAAATCCATCACAGGAGCATCGAGAGCGAACCGTGCGCGTAAGTACTGGTTGCGCTACTACTACTACTGGTTTTATTACCTTTCTTAAGTCGGGCTTTCTTCCTCGTGTTGCTTCTGCTAATTCAAGCTTGTTCCCCACTCCCATTAGTGGTCACTCGACATAAATGTTGTTCTGAGCACTGCACACTTGCCGCTGCACTTTTCTCGTCTGAAAGAGAGGAACAAGACGGAGTGTCTCAAAAAGAAAGAAACCCGCTAGCCTTTTTTGCTCATCTGTTGGCGCCCTCCGCGGTATTCTTCCCCCTGTTTGAGTCCCCTCACTGGCAGTGTTGCCACGCTTACTTTTCTTCACAGGTGGTTTTTTTAATACAGCAAGGGTCTTTGTGTGTGTGTGTGTGTGTGTGTGTGTGTGTGTGTGTGTGATATTGCTGCCTCCCTGCTCCTACGCGGATGTCGTACGGAAAGGTGGGTGCTGTCGCTGTTTCTCAGAAGGGACGGGGATTGCCTTGCGTTGCGCCGTAAGCGTAGCTGCACCGTCGCCGCTTTGGCTGCAGTGAGGCTTTGCAAATGTATGAAAGGAGCAAAGAGAGGGGAGGAGGGGAGTTTTGGTCTTGGTATGTGTGTGGAAGTGCTTTCGCATTCCGTGGTTCGGTGGAACGTATGAAATATTCAAGCGATTTGTTTTTGTTTTTGTTTGCGTGTGCGAAGTCTACGGTGAATGCACGGGGGCCACGTACGACAGAACTCTCACGAGAAAAATGAAGGCAGATTGAAACTGCTGTTTCCCATACCGTACAAAAGAAGGCTGTTGTTGTTGGAGTTGAAGGCGTGAGTTTTTCTTTTCCTCCTTCCGTCCTCTGAGTGGGGAAAAGCGTCTTTCATTGACTGCGATGACGGCCGCTTGACGACGCGAGGGTTTCTCGACATTTAGTTTGTAGCTGCGTAGGGTGTGGCTCGCCGGAGAACACCCTCCGCCCCTCCCACAACCAAAAACCCTGGCTATCACTTCTTCACCGCGCACAGTTTAACTTAACCGCACACCTTTTGTTCTTTTCCTTGTTGTTTTTTCTGTTTGTTTCGTTTGTTTCTTTTGGTGTGCGAAGTTCGGTAAGGTTTTTTTTGTTATCCTTCACGCTCTCTCATGTAACTTTCCTTCGCTTTTAATATGATCTTTACCGGTTCACGCTGGCTTCTGCTAAGGGGCCCGTTGTGGTGCGTTTTTTTCCCCCTCGTTTGCATCTTAGGCGAAGAGAACCACTAAAACTCTTATATATAGTAACAACAAACAGAGAAAAGATAGACATTAAAAAAAATAAGATCGACATGCGAGATGCGCTCGTCGTTGTCACCCAACACCTGTTCACAGTCAATCAAGCGACAGCTTCTCAGCGTTTGAACCACCGAGCACGTTTGTCTTTATTTTTCTCAGCGCGCTGCTCCTCCATTGGCGTAATCTACGGAGGCCCCTGCGACTTCTCCGTCAAACATGAGAGGAATGGTGTTACTATTATTATTATTTCCGCGGTTTTTTTTTTAAATACCTTCCCCGTTGGTGTAGCATTCTTACGGCGCCGCAAAGCAACTACTCAGTCAAATCTTCTTCTGCGTTCTTCATCACTCCCTCCTCTCTTCTTCTGATTTCAAAGGTCCGTACACACCCACATTCTGTCGTACTTTCCCTTTTGGCAGCAGCTCAACACGCTCACTGACCTACGCACCCACCCACCGATCCATGAAACCCTCCTTGGCCATCCCCCCTTCCCGATCGTCAGTGACCGGCTCTCTCACGCCACCCGGCGAGGCTGCCCTCCACGAGGACGACTCAGACCCGCTGACGCAGCAAACCCCCAACGCTGCCAACGCCGTGAAGTCACCTCGAAGTGTTCACTTCTTCGCCCCGGGTAAGGACGGTGAAGAGCAGAAGGAGTCTCGGTACAGCAACGCCCTCAGTCCCAGCGCGTCTTTTATGTCGACGGATCACGACGGCGGCGACATGCTGTCGCACATCACCACCCCACCGCAGCGGCTGGAGCCGATCCCGCCGTTCGGCCTCACCCGCGACGACGTGGAAGCCGCCTTTGAATTTCTCGACGTCAACGGCAGCGGCTTACTGACCATGGCAAACCTGAAGCAACGTCTCTCCGCCTTTTACCCACAAATGACGAGTAAGGAGTACAAATTTCTGGTCGAGGACCCCAGCGGCAATAACGGCGGCGGCGGTCAGGTCGGCAATGCGGAGCAGTCCACTTCTACCCAGGCCTTCCCCCCTCTCGTGGGGGCGGACAAGGTGAAGAGCGACAGCGCGCATTCGCACAACGCTGGCGCCAGTCCACCGCCCCCGAAGACATTGGCGAACGAGTCTTTCGGAGCCTGCAATAACGCCGGCGGTGGTGGTGGGCATGCGGAGACGCCATTGTCTCCTGCGGAGCTGGCAACAGAGCACAACACGCCTAGCTCGCGCCCGTACGGCAGCCGTGCCGGACTCGACGTGGATCAGCTCTGGGATCTCATTCAGTCCTTTCAGCAACTGCAGCGCAACCTTGGAGGGGGCGGCGGTACGACGGACTGGATGCACCGGCAGACTTCCGGCGGCGGGTCCCGTCGCCACGTCGGCTCGAATGGTTTAGGCGCCTCCTACGACGCCACCGCGGCGGCCTCTCTCTTTCACGGTCACGGCGGCAGCAGCGGCGGCATTGAGAGTGGGTTCGACGCCGTTGCCGAGGCCTTCCGCGTCTACGACCCGCGCAACACGCATTATGTCGATAAGGAGGTGTTGTCACGAATTATGGCACAGATTGGATTCGGGGAGCTGAGCGAGAAGGACCTGGCGTTGTTGGTGGGCACCGCTGACTTTGACGGCGATGGGCGTATTTGCCTGGACGACTTTCGGCGGCTTGTAAGCATGAAAGGACGTTTTAAAAAGGCGTGAACACCGCATAGGCGGAGGAGACCTCGGCGAACCCTTTTTTTCTGGGGGAGGGGGGACACCACCCCAAAATGAAACAGGATTGAAAAACTCTTCGTTGATTAGCATCTTTTTTTTCCTTCTTGCGATGTACATGTAGATGGGTGAGCGATAGGTTTATCGTCTTCACGGTTCGTCAAGGTTTTCTTTCTGTGTGTGCTTTGCTCTGCACTGTTTGTTTTAGTGAACGGTAGCCTGGCAGTGCCATGATTTACGTTATCTTCACCCTCTTTGTATTTATGTATAATGAGAGTTTTTATCTGTTCTACTTCTGTATCCAGAGAACCAGCTCAAAAATCTTTCAGCGACATCCCGTTCTTTTTTCTCCTAAAACGGAAGCCTCGCATTTTTCCCGTGTGGATGTGTCTTGCACACCGCCGGCACCAGTTTGCTGTGCCTGACTTCTCTTTGCCTTTCCACGGAATGCTTCTTAGCCGTCATTGCCGTTTTCTTAAGTTACTTGTGTGTGATGCTCAAGTGTGGGTGTGTGCCAATCATTTTCGCCTGAGCACTCGCTCACTCTGTGTCTCTGATTTTTCTTTCTCTCTTCTCTCGCTACATGTAACTCTCCCTCTCTGCCTCCGTTCGCTCGTTGAATGGGTTGGCTTTGCCGCTGCCGCTGCTGCTGCTGTGGTTACTACTCGCTGAGATTAGCGAACACGCGCAAGCACATACACACACGAGTGAAAGTATCACATATCGAGCTAAAAATAGAAAAGGTATCAGAAAAGGAAAAGAAGAGAATTCGAGTTTCAAGCTTTCGTCTTTACTTCAGCCATGTCCAACGCCGAAGGTACTACTGCCGTGCACATGCACAGTGCTACCGCTGTGGAGCACGAGAGCACCATGCAGATTTTGAACATGTACCCCGGTCACCTGCACCTCCTGCCGCAGACGCCGCAGCTGCACTTTCTCTTCACCGTCATCCGCAACGTCGAGACACAGCGCACTGACTTCGTCTTCTACTCGGAGCGTATCATGCGCCTGATCCTCGAGGCGGCGCTGTGCATGATCCCTGTGGAGCCGTGCAACGTGATGACCCCCACCAAAGCCGTGTACAAGGGCGTCCGGCCGGACCAGCGCGGCATCATCGGTGTGTCCATCATGCGCGCTGGGGAGTCGATGGAGCGCGTGCTGCGTGAGATGTGCCGCGGCGTGCGCATTGGCAAAATCCTCGTCCAGCGTGATGAGACGAGCGCCGAAAAAGGCCCGGACAGCCGCTTCAGCTACAGCAAGATGCCGAAGGACGTCGCGAACCGTCGCGTGCTGCTGCTGGACCCGATGTGTGCCACCGGCGGCAGCGCCATCAAGGCGACGGAGATTTTGATCCACGAGTACGGCGTGGCGGAGGAGAACATCATTTTCCTGAATCTGGTCGCTGCGCCGGCCGGCATCAAGAAATACCTCGGCCGCTTTCCCAAGATCCAGATCGTGACGGCCGCCATTGACGACGACCTGGACGAGAACATGTACATCCTGCCGGGTCTCGGTGACTTCGGCGACCGCTACTTCGGCACCATCGCTGACTAGAAAGATCGAGAAGGACGCGAAAAAATAACAAAGAACTGTACGAGACCGGTGCGGCGGCGCTTAATGTTTTTTTTTCCTTTTGTGTGTGTGTTTGTGTAGGCTTCCACAAGCTTCGTCTGCCATAATTCTAACAAACGCACCTCAGCAGTTTCCGCAATACAAGCGGAAGTTGTTCTGGCAAGCTTTCTTCGCGCAAGAGAGCGAGCGCGAGAGATACGGGAAAGAGTTCGAGACGGTTTTTAAAGAAAGAAAGAGAAAGGTGTAGAGGAACGAGAACCGGAGCGACAACAGCAGATAGAGAAAGAAAAAAAAGTCAACACGAAAGTGAACAGTCGAAAGAGGAATGAATGAATGAAACACATACAGAAGCAGAACGTTGAAACTCAGACCTTCCCTTCTCCCCCTTTTTTCTTGTCGTTCCCTGTCCCAGATTTGGCTTCGATTTGCCAATGTGCTTGTTGGTGTCCTGGGTGACCCACAAAAAGAAAGAGCAATTGAGCCTGTTTTACGAAAAGTCCGTGCGCCGCTGCGGCGATCAGTTGAGCCTCGTTTCAACATTGCTCCTTTGTTCTCCCTCTTTCCAAAATTGTTCCTTCTTCGCACGCCCGCTCGAGTGTTGATATATATATTTTGAATTTGTCATGCTTTCTTTCTCGCGTACTTGGGTTCCTCGTGTTTTTTCCCCTTTCTCGTTTCCCCCAACCGCGATGCGTGTGTGTGTGTGTGTGCGCCTCCGAGCCCATGTAAAAGGTAATGTTAAAGCGCTAATATTAGTTTCACAAGTTTGTTTAATCCTTTTCCTTTTCTCCTCCTCCTCTCCCGTGTTGATGAGAAGTACGAGCAACAACAAAGAAAGAAGAATAATGCATCTACTCAAGCAGCGCAAATTACTATAATAGTTTCTTCCCTCAGTCATTTTGCCCTTTTTATTCTGTGGCGGACAAAACAGAGAATAGGGGCTCTAAAACGAAAGGGAATGAGGACACTGCCAACGCCTCGCATCCTTAATAGCGCGTTATGAAGGGCTTTGAAATAGCAGTCGATTCCTCTTTTTTCCAAAAAAAGGTGCAAAGGAGAAAAACACGCACCCAGATGGATGGAATAAGTCGGCGTTGACGCTCAATGTGATCACCCGCTGATGATGGAAGACTGCAGTTTTTCTCTCTTCTCTATCCTTCTCATCTTCTTTCTTTGCTTCACTATGTTTTGAATTTAACACGGTCGCTTTTTTTGTTTTTCTCTTTTTTATTTTCTGAAAGATATACGTTGGAACTTCTTATTTCCGCATACGCACGTGAACGCGCTTACTTGGATCTACGATAGGGTAGGCTTCTTATTTTTGCCCTTCTTGTTTCGTTCATCTTTCTTCTAGACCGACGCTTCTTCTTTCAGAGTTCACATGTCGTCCAGTGCCGTGCACACCTGCGAAAGCAGCAACTGCGGCCACAACCACGGCGATGGCGCAGAGGCGCAGCCGCCAATGACGGACCAGAACTCAGGTGATTTCCATCCGTTTCTCGAGGCGCTCAAACCGGTGTTCCCCGACAACGGCGGCGAGATGCCCATCGGCGAGTTGCTGTTGGTGCTGAAGCAGAAGAAGCCGGAGGTCTTCCAGCAGTTGGATCGGCTTTTCGAAACGGCCCGCCACGTCTCCGGCGTGGATGAGCAAATAGCGCTAAAGTGGAAGGAGAAAGGCAACGCTGAGTACAAAAAGCGGCTGCATCAGCAGGCCGTCTTCTCCTACACCAACGGCCTTCTCTGTGCGGAGAGCGCCGACACGCTCGCCGTGCTGCTCAACAACCGCAGCACCGTCTTCTTTGACCAGCATCGCTACGCGGACGCCTGCGTTGACGCCGATCGCGCCTTTACGTACCAGCCCACCTACTGGAAGGCACTGACGCGTCGAGGGCGGTCTCTAGTCGAGCTGGGCCTCGAAAAGCTGGGTGAGAAGGATATCGAAGCGGCGAAGCAGGAGTCGCAGGAGACGGCCAATTCCTCGGCAACGATGTCAAAAGTGTTTGGTGAGGCGGCAAGTGGAATGGCGACGGCGGCGCTGCCCCCGCGTGCGCATGTGAAGGTGCCGGTGCAGGTGGAGAGGTCCGCCAAAGGCCGCTCCCTGGCCGCCGCGAGCCGATTATCAGAGGGGGAGGTGATGGACGAGACACCGTACGCGTTGGTGGCGCGGACGGAGACGCTGCTGTCCGTGTGCTCGTACTGCCTGCAACACAGCTCCTGTCTCTATCATGGCGAGGAGTACCGCCAGCATAAAATCAAATCGCGCGGCTTCTTCTGCAGCGCGGCGTGTGCGAAGGCCGCATGGGAGCACTACGGCCAACACGAGAGCAAGCACGCCTTTTTTCTATGTTGCCCCAACGACGCGCTGCTGGCCTATCGCATGATCCTCGGCATGCGTGAATTTCCCTCCCTGTCGGAGCTGACCTCGCCGGTGGAGCTCGACCCTGTCACCGGAAGCGATTTCGGTGCCACGCACATTCACTCTCTTGAAGGGAGCTTTACGCGTGAGCTGCAGCCCAACGCAGCCGTTGGCGGCTACGAGTCCCTCGTCGCGGCGATCGCCCTATACGCGGACGCCCTCACCGAGGCGGAGGCGGAGCAGCTGCGTAAGGCGCAACGGCAAATTCTTTTGAACGCGGTGGACGTCACGTGTGTGATGCAGACGTCCGCCACTGCCTCGAGCGCCAACAGCGGTGCGGGGTTGCTGCAGACGAATACGTCCACTGCGCATCTTGGCAAGGCCGTGTACGCCGTCGGCACACTCTTCAACCATGCTTGTGATCCAAACTGCTACGTGTCGTTCGAGGGCAACCCGCAGGGCTCGTGCGCAAAGCTGCTGGTGCGTGCTATTCGGCCAATCATGGAAGGGGAAGAGCTCACGGTGGCCTACGGCGGCATCACCTGCTTCTCCTTCCACAGTATGCGCCACCGACTGCAGACGCTGCGCGACCGCTATGGGTTTCTGTGCGGCTGCCCGTCGTGCCGCAACCAGGTTGACGAGCCGGTGCTAACGACGGAAAAGGAAAAATACATTCAGGCTTCCGACTACTATCAGAAGGGACGCCGCCTGGTACGCGAGGGCGACTACGCGACGGCCGTCACGGTGCTGCTGCAGAGCTACGAGATTGTGATGCGCTACATCTGTCCGCCGCCAAAGCCGCCGCAGTGGATGTTGATCAAAACCCACGACGCCCTGGCGCAGGCGTACTTCCACTTGAATCAGCGCGACAAGTGTGTGGAGCACCTGAAGGAGGCCCTAAGGCTTGACATCGAAATCCACAAGACCGCCAACCGCGTGGAGCTGATCAACGAGTACACGCGTCTCTCCTTCCTTGCCGAGACAGCGGAGGATAAGGAGGCGAACGTGGCCAAGGCGGTGGAGCTGCTGCGCCGCTTCTACGGGCCGTCCAACATGTTGGAGTTACAAGTCGCGTACGTGCAGTCGAGTCTTAAGGTGGACTCTGACACGGGTCGCAGCACCGTTGCCGCCCCTGCTGCTGCCGACGCAACCGTCGCCTAACTCTCGTGCTTCCGCGCCCGCGACGAACCGTGGACAGTGCGTCCCTTTCGTAACAAAAGAGTTTTTCTTTTTCGTCTAAAAGACCCGCTCGCTAAACTCACGAGTGGCCAGAAATACGCGTTGTTGCCGGGCGATACGTCGTCGAGCGGCCTGCAAGATCGACAACTGCCGTATTTCTCTGCCAGGGTTATAATATGAAAGAAGGCAAAAACAATCACTCGCAACGTCTGCATAATCCTCTATGGAGCCCTCTCAGTGGTCTTTTATTACTCACAATCAAAAAGCGCATTTCGTATCGAGGACCTCTTAGAGGTCTTCAGCGCTGCTAGTTCCACGCGCCGAGTTGGCATGTCCTGCACGCCGTCTTTTCGGATGGCATTACGAAAAAGAACTCTGCGACGCTTTTGCGCTGAGTATGGACATTAGACTTTTTCCAGTTAAACCGGCAACGATATCAGCAGTTTTTTTTATTTGTTCGTTTCACTCGCCCCTTTTCTTTTCCTCCTTCCCTCTCTCTTGATCCTTTGCCTTTATCCCTCACAACAGAAGAGCTGCTGATGTGCAGTGCGAGCACTATTGCACTTGCCTAGTGGCACGGTATTTAGGAGCTTTTTTCCCCCACCTTTTCATTCCTTTCAAGGGGACACGAAGCCGCAACAAGGCGTAAAAGCACATTTGCATGCAACGGATGCGAGTCTGCGCGATTACGGGTGTTTGTCTCCTCTACGCCTCCTCCCTAACAGTCAAGAAAGCAAAGCAATTAATGACAGCATTTACGTGTTATTGCGTGTTGCTTCTCCTAGTAGCGGGTGACGTGGCGCTAGTTCCATGGCACGCATTCGCGTAATCGCCTTTCCACCCTTACGTCATTACATACAATGAATCCAACACGCTGCGCTTCACGGTGCTGCGCAGCCACTGCGTCGTGGTTGACCTCGACGTTCTCTTAGTGAAACGGCTTGGATACACCGGCACCATCATCGTCGATGACGAAGTGACACGCGGACAGCTCTGGCGCGGCGACCTCGCGGGCGATACGCAGCCGCACACCGACGCCCGCCGCACCCGCAACGTGAAAGTCATGACACGTGGCAGCTCCCTCGACTACGGCGACGGTACGATCAGCTATTGTCCCGCGCCTCCACACCCAGCGGGTCCGGCGAAAGAGGAGAAGGGTGGAGGATGCGAGGGGGGTGTGGTGAATGACACGGCTGCCCTGCGCTTCACACCGACCCCCGTCACTCATGACCACCCCGTGCAGCCGTTTCAACTTCTCTTCTCCACCGTGCCCTTGACGCTGGAGCCGCCACCGCTGCCGACGACGGTGCCGATTGACGGCTGGGAGTGGTCTGACGAGGAAGCGGACGCTGGGGCGGAAGAGCCGCGGCTCACCACCCCAGACGAAGAAGGCGGCCCTCTTCTCTCTTCTCTGAGAGTCGATCAGACCGACGTGCTCCCCATTTCCATACGGCCGCAGTCGGAGCTGCGACAGCACTGGAAAACGGCACATGCGGGAGATGTGGTGCGCTATACCCTGCGACCCGCCGCTGCCTCTTCGTCTCCGTCGCAAACGGCCATCCGCAGCGCCGCTGTCGAGCCAGGGATGGACGAAGTAGACGTAATGGAGTTGTTGAGCGTGGACAACAGGGCAGATTGGTCACCGTGTGTGTTGTACGCCGTGGAAGGCGGCAACACCGTCCCACCGGTGCCGGCAAACCGCAACGACGGTGGCGAGGGCGATGACGCTGTGCAGCTACAGAAAATCGAGTCCCTACCCTTCGCCTTTTCTCCGAGCACTCAAATTCGCTTTCGAGTCGACTTGACCAAGTTGGATGTGATGGCTGAAATGCAGAGGTGGCTCGCAGCCGCGACGGTGGCGGCAACGCAGAACACATCCGCTGACACTCTTCCGAGCGAGGGCTTTCCCCCGATTTGCACCGTTGGCTTCCGCGCCCGCCAACGCGGCAGCACCGCCTTCAGCTCTGTCGGGGTGGTGAGGGTGGAGTGGGCAGCCGCGCCTCGCACCGCGGTGGAGGCGGAGAACATTTTTTATACGCACAGCAGTGCACAGCGAACTCTCCACGTCTCCGCACGAGCGGCGGTGAAGTCCGGCGTGAGCGGCGGCGCGTTTCACATGAAGGACTTGTGCTTAGCGACACCGCCGTCAATCCCAAACCTCGACCTTTCTGTGTCATCCTTCCCGTACTGTGTGCCGTGCGCACCCGACGAGCACACTTGTAAAATGAAGCTATCCTATGGCTTCAAAGGAAACAATACAACAACCACACCGGAACCGGCCAGCGTGTCTCACAACCGCAACGAGCTGGAAGGTGTTCCCGAGAAATCGAGTGCGCTGGATGATCTGATGAAGTCCTACTTAGGCGAGGCACGTCACCTCCACTTTTTCACTGTTAGCGCTCACAGCAAAATGAGGGGTGAGTACATCTCTGGAGGCGCCCGCGTCAAGGTACAGTTTTTGTCGGAACAGCTACTTAACTTCATCGACCGCTACGCGGGCGTCGCAGAAAAGGTGGTGCACATCAACAGGACCAGCGAGGTTCCTGTTGTCGTGGATGTCTTTAGTGTTGTGCCCGTCTTTTTGCGGAGTTTTATTGATTCCGTCACAGTTGACGGCGGGGCGATTGATCGACTTTCCGGACAGCTGTACGGTGCAGCTTCGGCACCCTTTTCGTCCTCGTTCGAAGCGCGGCGCGGGCTGCAGTGGCAGCGGTTGTTACCCGGCAGTTACGTCTCTTTCAAGGAAATGGATGCATTGGAACCCACAAAGCCGCGGGCTACCGACACTGGGCAACGAAGAGCATTGAAGCTGAACGTCCGTCACACCCTACTGCGTTACGTCCCACCAGCGTCGTGGCTGTCGATAGCGCCGTGTGCCACCACGGCCAATAGCGCCACGGCAGTGAGGGATACGGTAGACATGAAGTTGCACTTTGCCTTCGCTGTTGTCGGAAAATTGTCTCTGATTTTTGTGACGGGGCCACATCCTACCTGTCCGCCTCGCACTCCCGCTCCTCTCGAAAGCGAAGGGCGTGATGGATGGAGGGCACCTACAAGAACATTGACCCCTATCCGAGCCCACCGATTTGTTTACCAGCACACCGCAAACCCGCTCCAGCTGCCCCTCGCAGACCCGTCCCGTACAGTAGATGAGCATGCGCCACCTTCGTCACTACCTGTGGAACACGGAGCGCACGCCATTCGATTTGTTTCTCTCCCGCGACGTGGGAGTGTCTCGCGTGTGCCCTCGTGCGACAACATCGGCAGCGAAAGCGAGTCGCTGCTGGGCCACTGCAACGCCATGCCATCCCACCCCCCCTTGGACGCCGAGACCGGCTGCGTGTGTTGTCTGCAGGAGTGCTCCGCCCACGTCGGCGGCGCGTTGTCGGCCGGGGCGATTCTGGAGGCCGACCGGCCGGCGGACACTTCCTTTCTGGATTGGTTTTCGCCCTTCTGGGTCTTCTACACGCCGCCGTCGTCAACGTCCACAGCAGCGTCGTCGTCGTCTCCTGCTGGTAATGCCGTCACGGTGGAAGATGAGGAGGTCGGTGAAGTGGTGGTGGTGATTTGCTACACCACGTGGCCAGTGCGGCATCCAGTGCAGCTGTACGAGCTCGTCCTGCACATCCGCCGATGGCCAGACACCGCATTGCGTCCTTCTTTTTTGCTGCCCCTGGCGTCTGATGCGGGCCCCGCCGCGGCAGCACCACCGTCGCTTTCCTCCATTATTCCGCAGAAGCCGATGAATAGTGGGAGCGTCTTCCGCGTCCTTCAAATGTCTGCGCGAGCGGATGTTGAGACGGGACTGCTGACCGGCGCACCGGACAATGCGACGACGTGGATGTCAGACGGCGTGTTTGAATGTGTGCCACTGCGGCGCGAGGGCGTTGGTGAGGGGCCATTGCGAGCATCGTACGCCCGCTCGACTGTGCGTTTGGTGCCCACGTGGAAGTTTGGTGCGTGGGCATTTTGGCCAAGTGTGACGCGTGGTTGTGTCGTGTTGGAGACGGACGGCGATCTGCCGACCTTGTTCGTGCGCGCAGTAAGAGTCGATGACGCCAACACCTCTGTCGTCGCGGCTTCAACAAACGGGGACGGCGGAAAGCGTGCGGGGACAGTGGTAACACGCGCAGCCTCACCACTGGCTTTTGCAACCCTGCAACTTCAGCCATATGCCTCTGCGTTGCCTGAGCAGGCCAACGTTACGTGGACATCGCAGGTAGACGCGGCGTCGTCACACTGGCCCGTTGTCTCCGTCAACGCAAGTGCGGTTGTGCATGTAAGGGTGCCCAGCCCCTGGGGCTTTTACCACGCTGAGCAGACGATTCAGCCTTTCCACATTACGATACGCTTTGTAAAGCGAGGGGACGAGGGGAGTGATGTGCGCGTGAGGCTGTCGCGCGCTCCGCGGCGAGGGTGCGTCGTCCAATTACCGGAGAAGCATTGCGTACCTCTTGGCTCTTCTCTACGGGAAGCGGTGTGCGAAAGCCACGGCACGAGCACAACATCTTCTCCCTCGCTGTGGTGTGTGTCGTTGACGTATGTGCTTCAACGCATGGAGCCTAACCGTCCTGTCCGCATGCATGACGTCGTCGAGCTGGCTGCGGTGACGAGTGATGGCCAGCGAGTCAGCAAGCCGCTTGTCATCTCGCTGGAAGGCAAGCGACCGGTTGTGGGCGGCTACTTGAAACAAGGTATTCTGTGCCTCGTGGTTTTGCTGCTTATCGCCGTGGTAACGCTGCCGAGGCGAACTCTGCGATCGCTGACCACGGGGCTTGCGAGTGTTCAGCGACGTTTGCGTGTCCCGGGACGAACCGAAAGAAGAACCGCACGGGGCATCACTCATTCGTACGAGATGGTGGGCATGCACGACGACGCACGGCAAGAACGCATCTGAGGATGCATTTCTTCTTGTGCGTCCATCTTGAAACGCTGAGTAATCACATAGTTTTATTTCCTCTTCACTGCTCTTACTCTTAGCATGTTATGAAGCTTGTTGTGCAAACCCAAAATGACATCAATCGATTCTGTTTTGCTGTTGTTGCTCATTTGATGAGCGTGCGCGTCGTTGTCGAGTGCGACACTTGCATTGTCGCATTCTTGACATGCCAGACGAGCTCGGTGCACGCTGCATGCAACTCATGCAAAATAGTGTCAATACGCCGTGCAGAGAGGTCCGACATCAGCAAAGAGGACCGTAACGCGTGCCAAGCTTCGTCTCTTGTCCACTTTTTTTCTTCTTCTCGCCTCCTACCCTCTTTGTTATTGTTATTATTACTATTGTTTTCTACTTCCTTCCTTTTTTGTGCACGTCAGAAACGTGAGAGAAAGAGAAACTTATAATAATTACGGCTGACA